TTTTGGGCAAGTCCGGTTCGCTTATTGAAAATTCCAATTTTCAGTTTTTTCGGGTAGTCCAGGGGCCCGCCAAAGAAGTTTTTCACCCCTACCCTTTTTTTAAATTTCCGGTATTTCCCCGGGGGGGGGGGGGGGGGTGTACTCATAGTCGTGCATGCCGTAGTCGTTAGACCGTTGACCTCGCATCCCTACAAAGCCGGGACGGAGCACGCCGGGTTCTCACCGGACCAGGTTCTCACATCACCAAGCGCGAAGCACCGTGAGGTATTCGGCGAGTCGCATGAAGGGTGAGCTGCCATCCTGCTAAGGGTGTTCGGCATCTTGTGCTTACTTCCTTGCGTACGGATGACAGCTGCGTATGACTTAATTTATTTTCTGGTGCTTTCACTTCCAGAGACAGTTATAAGCACTGTGTAGCTGCCTCGAGGATGCTTGACCATTTTAACACAACGTGGTGCGATCATCCCTCTTGCGCGGAGTGAGGGTTCTCGACCCCGCACAACATGATCTACTCGACCACCATTATGGTTACCGCCAAAAAAAAAAAAACGAGGTAAAAAAAAAAAAAACGGTAACCTGGTTACCGAGTTCACGAAGTGAATTGGCTTCTTTTACAACGTCGTTGCCAGCGACGAAAACCCAATCCCGATGGCAAACACCGAGGGGGGGGCTTGTTTTACAACGTCGTTGCCAAGCGACGAAAACCCAACCCCGATGGCAAACACCGGGGGGAGCCGTGCATGCCGTTTTCGTTAGACCATTGACCTCGCATCCCTACAAAGCCGGGACGGAGAACGCCGGGTTTTCACCGGACCAGGCTAGCACATCACCAAGCGCGAAGTGTCGTGAGGTATTCAGCACCTGGCATGGAGGGTGCGCTCATTCCTGGGGGGGGAGGGGGGGGGACCATGCTGCCAACGCGCTACATACGGTGTTCTCCCATGTCAGATGGTCGAACCTACGCACGCAGGCCTCAGAAATAGTTGGCAACCCTGTCGACGTGTGGTGTTGGCCGCTTAGGCAACGGCTCGAGTACCTACCTGGCCACGAGCGGGTGCCACATTGCGTGCCAAAGAATCTATCTGCGGGGCTTCCAACCCGAGGCTGAAGCCTACCGTTGGCTAACCCTGACCTGATCCCCCGAGAGGGAGGCCAGGGGGCCCCGTGAATCAGGTATTCACTCAAAGCTGGGGCTGACCCCCCCTCCCCCCCCACCAAAAGGCGGGAAGTGATATCGATAGGAAACATTTTGAGCAACCTTTGGCAATGTAGGAAGAAAAGATATTTAGACGATCGGCGATCGGTCCTGTGTGGACAATGCCCCGTCCTCTTGAGGACGCGCGGTATGCGTGCATGTGGACACATGTATGTATGTCGCGTTGCCGTGCGTTGTTCTGCTTCCTTACGATTCAAGCTTGTATGAGATGCATGCATGTATGGTTTTCAGTACAAGTTGTAGTAAGTACAGGTATGCGTAAGACCGTTGATATATTTTTGGTTCCACTGTCAACGAAATGTTGCGTGTCGTGTGCGAACGTACAGTACGAACGTACGAACTCGTCGTCTCTGTGTCTTACCTGACCGCTAAGGCATGCAAATCATGAGTACGCCCCCCCCCCCCC